CCGTCGTCTGCATCTAATGTTCCAGAAACAAATTTAAATACAGAACCTATGGTATTGATTAAACCTCGTTTTCCTCGCATTGCAGGGGGTGTTAGTATATCCGGTTGTATTTTGAGTAATTGATCTTTTAATTCTTCTCCTTGTTGTTGTAAGTAATTGATTTCGCGCAATAGCTCTAATCTTTAGAGTTGTCTATGGTTTGAGATAGTATTTTTAAGGTGCTTTCAATTTTAGTTAATTCTTCGCCAAATGGTTTTAAAGAGTATTTATGTATAAACGTATGATGACTTATTTGTACTCGCGTATTACCTAATTTAAATGGTAGAATACCTGCATTATCAGTAAGGTCTTTAATTTCCACTCGTTGTACGAAAACTTGCTGAATGATTGTTATTAAAAAGATGTTAATGATCCAATACCTCATCTGCAACAAATTTAATATTGTAATTTAGGTACGCTGTGTCTTTCTAAGGGGTTTCAATTCTTGTTTATGATAAATCTGACCTTTTTGGGTTTTGATTTTGTTTCCTAAGTCTTCTTGCATAATTTCTTTACTAAAACGTGGTGCCTTCTTATCTCTTATATGCATTGTCCGTAATTATTAATTTTGGCATTTTGTATTGAGCAAAAATTTTAGTATAGGCTTCAACTATATCTGGTAAATTATTCGAACTTAATTGACAAAACATGAGATATTTTGTAAAGGAATCTATTGCCGTCAGATATTTCTTTCCGTTAATCGAAAAAATATCTATAAATACTGTGTCAAAAGGAAGTCTTGGAGAGGGATTGAGANTTTTAATTTAACAGTTAACAAGCGCGAGAGAATACAGCAGATAAATGGCGGAACAACTAGTAGTAGACTATATCGATTATTTTTGCGCGCCACGTTTTAAGACTCCAGAGTGACTAAGACCATAGACTAGTGAAGACTTGACAAGCCCGCGACAACCAACGTCATAGAAGTTAGATGTTCTATGACCATAGATATAACATGATACACTACAAGGTTATCAGTGCCATCGGTAATGTCCTTTTGGAGATGTGATGATTAAATTATAGGTCTGTACACCCTTGACTGTCTGAGTACCTTCGGATACCTTCCGTTTCGATAGCTCGTGATCCACCTATTAATACAATTTTTAATTCCTTTTCTTCTTCCAGCTTATTCGTGGAGTATTCAAAATTGCTTTGTTGAACTACTTTGACAGCTTTTCTGTAGTTTTCGCCCTCCTCGGTGAACTCTCTTACTTCCGTTGTAAAATATTTAAGTGGCAACCTCAGTTTAATATTGTTTACCTTAAATATTTCGTTGAGCAGCTTGGCATCTTTTGTTTTAACTGTGATTTGCGCAGGTACTTGACAGCTTTTACATCACTATAGACGCTCTTTGTGTGTGTGTCAGTAGTGAGCAAAGGTCTTATGATACTCAATATAGACAGCGCGTAACTGATGTTTGGAGTGTGCTGCATTGAATCCAACATTAGAGTGGGATAGCGTCATCGGTACACCAGGGAGTACGATGAGGAGCGAAAATTTGCACTACGTGACTTAGAATTAGGGAATCTTGAATGTTTAGAATCTTTAATTTTTAACGTATGAGTGGGCAATTTTTGTGAAACTGCAAAACTAATTAACGATTTAATACAAAACTCGACATCTTCACACTCAGGGGTAATAATAATCTCCTCTGTGCCTTCTGGAATACTTCACCATCACACCACTCTTGTATCAATTTTTCTGTCTTCAGAATACCTTTAGTCCAATCCTTTACATTGCATTTCTCTAAAGCTTTGCCCCAAATATCAATCACCTTCTGATCACCATAACCTTCTTGACCAATATTTGTATTGTAGTAATTTTTGACCTTTACACATTTCTATTGCATTGAGCTGGCAATAGTAAGGTGGTAATCGAAGAACTTTACGACCATTATTTAACAATTTGTTGACAACAAATTTCTTGTTCCTACGATTTTGCTTAGTAATTTGCAGAAGTTCAACTTTAAGAAGATTCTCCTCCACAGAAATTCCATGTTTAATTA